ATGCTCTCTGAGGCCCATGCAGGTATAGAATTGCATGTGCACTTTTGTATTTATATGCATACATTTGTAGTGCATGTGTGGGGGCATTTTTATAGTATTTGGTGGATCTTCTACAAGAGCCCATAGACACTTATACTTGTTGCATATCATCTGACGTTTGCTTGCATACAGTATGTAACATGTATATGGGTCTCCCACAGCGGCCCGTGGGAGCTTGTATTTGCTGTAGTCCTGCAGCATATCTACCCTCACGCTTACAAGTAGGTTAATATGCTTATTCAAGGGTAAATGCTGATTGTTGGATGAGCTACATTCTTGATTATTGCGCATGTGATAAATCACATACCATTGCTTGCAAATATTTATGCTTTGATTTACGAGCAAGTGATTGTATGAAAGAAGAGTATTTTATCATTGTATGTAGGCAATATGTGTGTCCATTACAGTGGATCAGTGTTGTTTACAAATTGACCTCATAAGGAGAGTGATGTATTTATTGCATGTTATACTCCTCTTCTCGCAATGGATTGACATATTTGCTAGTTGTTGAATGGTGATTGGTTGTAGGGGTGTTGCAACATCAATAATCTACTAAGTATCACTCACATGTATATATTAATGTGCACACAATGCATTTTCCGTCATTGTTAATGGACATTTGCATTCACTACTCTCTTTTATCTCATGCATGTAGTTGGTGATGTGTTTGCCATCAGTGCTTGTAGGTAGGGTTACTATATGAATGTAGAGTCTCATATATTAGCTTGTAGGAGTTTGTATGCTTTGCCAATGCATTACCCTTGCTTGTATGTAATATGCAACGTGCGTTGTAGCTTGTTACATGCTCTTCATGTTTCACTCATGAATATCCCCTTCACTTTCATCATTTGGAATCTCAGATGCATTTTCTTATGTTTTGATGTTAAACGCAAAGTATTGTCGTATTCACCAGGAGTATTTCCAATGTCAACACATTCATCATGCATTATTTATGGCCACTTATGTACGACTTACTGCATTCATTATGAACTCTCTTGCATTGTGAGTGAGCCACTGTGTTGCAAGTTCCTTGATTCATACTTGTAGGTGAATCACATTCATTGGATACTCTCTTCTATATGTGTAGGAAACACACATATATTTCACAAGCTAATTGGCATTAGTAGTATGCTTGGTGTTCTCTCCACAACATTCTTAGATTATTTGTAGATAAGTTGCATTCATTGCATGTTGTGCATTCTTGCCTACAGGATGAACTGCACCCGCCCCTGTGTAATATTGATGCTTGTACTTTAATCAATAATGATAGTCTTTTAACATTTGTTGGAAGTTTTATGTTATTGCTCGCATTTCGTGTTAGTGCATTTTCACAGTCTTCTTGAATGCATTTATCGAAGACTCTGATATATTTATAGGATGTTTGTCAGCCTCATTGTTTACGAACAAATTAACATACTTGCCTTAAGTCAAATGATGTTGATTGTATTCGTTTAAGACTTATTCAACGAATCTTGGCCACCAATTTGTTATGTTCACTACGTATTGAACACCTTTATTGATGTACTTTCTTGGAGTTGGATCATTGTTGATGATAGAGATGTTATCATATTCCTTTCACAAGTCCTTGTACTCAGTTGAAATTTGAGTACGAGTTCTCTTGCATATGATTCAAGTTTAGTTCATTCAATTTTATTCATTATATCCAGTTCAAATCCATTTTAATTCATCATCATCAATATTAAGTCTCCTTATTATTCATTTGAGTCCAAGTTAATTCAATTTTAGGTCCATTGTCATTCAAATAGCGAGTTCAAGTCCCCTATATTTGCTTTGAATTTTGGCAGCCTCCCGACGAAAATCTCCAATCCAACCATGCCAGAGAAAGGCGTGTATGAGTCTTTGGATACCAATTTAAAATGTACAATTATTTCCTCGTAGGCGCTAAAGCATCTATGAGTACTTAAATTCGTCCCTGTCATGTTAGAGAAAAGCTTGTACAAGGCCTACCTGCCTCGTCGTAAGCGTGGTATCGGATTCCCTTCCCACCACATTAGAGAAATGAACGCATAGGTGATTTTCCAGTGCACCGCAAATGTCGAATGCGGGGTTTGCATTTAGAGGGTTATACCTGCACGATGAGGCATGTAACGGTGGTTTCAAAGGCCACTAAAAATCGAGGAGAAATGTTTCTTTATACTCTTTATTTTTAATTCTTTTTTTTTTTTTTTGGATTTCTTTATTTTTTGGGTATATATATATTACTAATAATAACTATAATTAATACAACTCATAGCTAAAGTAAAATAAATATATACCTAATTTAGCTAAGGCAATCGGGTAGGAGATGGCTTGAAGAGTCGTCTATGAGCAGTGGCGCGGGGGGGG